CCCCCCCCCTTGTCAGATTTAATAACCAATCAAATTATAATATTTATAAATTATATATTTTATTAAGTGTAACGTAAGATTTTGGTTACCCCCTTCCCCCTTTGATAATTACATAATATCTGTAAACTCCCTTATTATTTCTGATAATTCAATATAATTATATCAATATCTTTTGGTACAAATTAGTGTTTTTCAATACATATTAGTATTCTTTAATATGAATCAATATTTTCTTTCAGTATATATTAATAAGTATGAATGTATATTAGTATTTTTCAGTATATATTAGAGATTTTTTTTTTTTCAATAAATATCAATAGGTATTAGATTTGCCAAAAAAAAAAAATAATTTAATTTAAAAATCTGGCTGAATTTTTCTTCAAAATAAAAAAAAATATCAATAAAATATCCAAATTTATACTTTTAAAAATTTAAATAATGGTAATAAACTTGAAGATTCTTTAGTAAATTAATATTTTTTAAGCTAAATAGAATTTAAAAAAGAGCTTTCTTACATAAAAAAAAGACCATGAAGTTGCTATATATTGGAAAAGTCAATTTGCAAATAGTTATGATGTCTTAAATAGAAAAAATAAGCATATGTAGAATTCTTTAAATCCAATAAAAAAAGAAAATAAATGCATACAGGATGATGACTTTAATAAATCTAAAAAAAAAAATGAAAAACTTTCTAATTGTATATATTAACTTGAAGAGAAAATAATACAGTTATATTTAGAGATAAATAATCTTAAGTTTGAAAACAAGATAAAGCAATTATAAAAGATTTTAAACTTTAAATTACCTATAAAAATATTTTTCTTATAGATATTAAAAATGAATTTTTTATAAAATTAGAAAAAATACTAGTTCTTAAATTCAAAATGAAAGAAGAGATGCAAGTACTTCAATTAAGAGTAAAAGAGTTGGAGCAGAATGCTTTTTTAATATGGAAGAAGTTATTAGAAATGGATTTTCTCAAATATAAATTGAAACTGAAAAATGGAAATTAACTACTGAAAATATTAGTTTAGATTGATAAAAAGGAATTTAGAAGATTCATTAATTAAAAAGAATAATAAATTAGTACAAATAAAAAATGATTTAGTTATCTTATAAATATAGATGAGAGCATAAAGCATAAATTATCCAAAATATTAAACATCTAGCAATAACATGGTCTTTCAGTATGATAGTTAGTAAAAGAAATAGTACAAGTAAAATCAATCTACTGGTAAATCTTGTATTTACCATTTTGATAAACTAAAATAGATATTTGTTAGATAATATCAAGTAAACCCTATTATAAGAATATTAGATTAGAATAAATTTCTAGTGTAAAATCATTTTTACATTAGTTGTAATCATTTTTGAGGATATATATATTACTTTTGAATTTATTTAAAATTGAATTATACTATTTTTATATAGGCAATATCAGAATATTTCTTCTTGCTATTCTACTCAAAAGTACCATTATATATCAATGATCATTTATGAAAATTTAATGTTTCTAGTGCAGTTTAATGCTAGCAATAATACATAAGATTTGGTTAAAGTTATTAAATAATATACTGATGATGTAAAGGATATATCTATATGATTATTAATAGTTACTTCTGTAAGGATAAATTTATTGTATTTGATTTCAGTAAATAAAAGATAATTCTTTTACAATTTAGCTAAAATTTAACATTCTATTGAACTTGCAAAAGGAAAAAAAGCAAGACAAAAATATAATGCAAAAAGCATTTAAACTAATAAATAGAATTTGATTTAGATTTACTAAAATGAATATCTTCTATAGTTGCCAACTTTTTTTTTGCCTTTTACTTTTTTATGTAGAAGCAATATCATGTCAATATAAATTGTATAATATAAGATATGATAGAGAATATAGTTAAAGAAACTGTGAAAGAATATTTAAAATAGGTTTCAAGTTTATAATATATTTAATATTATTAACCTTGCATTTTTATAGGATTTAAATAATGAAATTAATAATTTTTTTTAGAGTTCTTCTGAACAACAGCTACCCAATCTGTTTTTTAATTAAAATCATTATTTCAAATATTATGAAAATAAATATATTAAATTTATTATTGCAATAGATAATAACATTTATTTTTTTTGATTTTTTAAATTAATATCTTTAAACTAATAAAAATTTTATCCTTATTGCGGAAGTAAAATTACTTCATCTAATATTATTGAGTTTGAGAAGTTTGAAAATAACAGTGATAAACCAGTTTAAATATGTTAATAATAGAATTCTTATTTTTTTATTTTATATATTTGATATTTCACAGTTTAATTATATTATTTAGTTAAATTATAAAGCAGCAGATGAAAATAAGGATGATAAAAGTCCTTCTAAAATAGACAAATTAGTTTTTTATGAGCATACTATATTATTTTAGATAATGTAAAAATGCATTTGAAGTCAGAAAAAATAGTTGAAGATATTTTTTACAATTTTACTAAAAATATAGAGTAAGCAGCAGGACATCTGCAAAGGGTATAAGCAGGTTTAAATAATTTGACTATGAACTTAAAGAAGATAAATAACAAATAATATAGTCAAGAATTCTTTGATAGTATTGCTGCCTGAAACTCATTTAACAATAAAATTCAAAAATCTGAAACTCAAAATCTATTTTTAATGAAAAAATTGGTAAATCTGAAACTTTTCTAAATTATAATAGTTTTAAAAAAATATAAAAACAGTTTAAGCAATTAATTTTATTATAAAAGAATTTTAAATTAAATTTTAACTAAACTAAAATTTTGAAAAAATAGGTTTAGCAAGTATCTGATGCTTAAAATAACTACTTATTAATTCTATCATTCAGTTCTAGACCTACTTGATTCTATTTTAATATATAGAACCCTTATATTGAATTTATGCTTAAAATCAGGCTGGACTATTTTTCTACTATTTAAAATTTCTGGTATTAAAATTAAATTAGAATTAAACCTGAAATACCAAGAACAAACCCATTTCATCTAGCTGTTCTAGCCTAATTTTAATCTCAAATAATATAATAAAAAAAATATATTATCTACTTATCTTAGAAATAGAAATGGTTAAGTCAGTCCTGATTTGATTCTGGTCTCAAAACCTATCAGTCCTATTGAATGAACCTATAAATCAGGTTCTGTTAGGATTAATCTTAGATCTAGTCCCAGGACTTGGTTCTGAACTAAATTATTTATAGATTTTATAGATCTAGTAATAACTAAATATAAAAAAAAGTGAGTTAGGGTATTGGGTTTTACTTTTTTTATTAATAATTCTATATAAAAAAGTAAGTTGTGATATTGAAATTTAATATTTTATATTAATTTTATATAAAAAAAGTGAGTTGCAGTATTGCGATTCACTTTTTTATATTGATTCTATATAAAAAAAGTGAGTTGTGATATTACTGATTCATATTTTTATATAATTTAATATAAAAATATACCACTGATGATAATAGATTTATGTCACCATCACCTATTGGCTCTAAATGAAACACTCAATATACTTTTATAAAGAGCAGTACATCAAAGGACAAACAATAGGCGCAGAAGGTTAAGGAGACCAAGCAACATGATTCAGAAAAAGGAATATCTACAATTATAACCAACTATACTCCTCAAAATAAAGAGAGCGTTAAAGAGATTGTAATATATGATATTCCTGCAACAAAAATTCAATTCAAAATTCTTAATGGCTTTAAAGATTGGGGCTATGTTATTGTAATGAAAATAAAGACGCAAAAGAAGTATGTGACAGTTACACTGTCAATAGGATTCTTCAAGAGGATATTGAATTTGTGGAATGAAGGAACTTGGACAGCTCTTTACTGTGATCTGACTGTATGATAGTTTTCAGCAACCTGAACTTTAAAGTATACTTATATCCAAAATTATTTTAGTATTACAGAAATATGTAATTACGTAATTCTGTAATTATTAAGTAATTCATTAGAAAAACTCCGTATTCCGTAATTAATTTCGGACTCCGTAATTAATTTTGTATTACGAAAATATTTGGCCAGAATTAGCCTTAATTTTGGCTGATTTATATATAAAAACTTTAATAAATAATAACTCAGCATCCAGTGATCCGTTTTGGATGATCTTACTACCATTTGATTCATCTCGATAAGGCGATTCTAATGGTAGTATGATCATTTAAATCCAATCACTAGATCGCGCTCTGATACCAATAACTTTTAAATATTTATAGCATAATAGCTCCATCAATTTCAATATTAGAAAGATGATCTTACCGCCATTAGAATTATCTCATCATGATGAATCGAATGGTGGTAAATTCATTTAAATCCAATTACTAGATCGTGCTTCAACACCAACATTCATTAAATGTTTATAGTAATTTTACTCCATCAATATCGATGCTATAAAAATGATATACATATCATTAGATTTGTCTTGATGAGACGAATCAAATGAATAGTAAGAGCATCGAAATCTGATTACTAGATCCTGAGATATTTGCAATTTCGCACTATTATACAAATTTTTAAAATTTCGGAAACAACTATACGTGAGAGATTCTTCACACAATGCATGCAGTACTATCAGTTTATATATATGTGTAATAAATTTTATTATAAAAATTTTTCTTGCCGGCGTTACAAATTGTGTTTTTATTAAGATAAAAAAAAATCACATGCGCGTTTTGTTTCGGAACACCGATAAAAATACCGACGTCTATACAATAAAAGCCTGTTTTATTTTCCAATCATGTTACATCTCCACATCGTAAAATACACGTTAAAAAATACAAGGCGAACAATAAAAAAATCGGGAACTGCATTTTCATTTTAGCGCACTATATTAAAAAAGGTTCCTTGCAACTTATATTAAGTGTCCGTCTCTTATAGCAAGACCCAGCAAACATTTTTATCGAATAAACCAATAGATCAAAATTCTGAATCACAACTCAAATCAAGAGTAAAATTAGTCACTTGCAAGAGCAATTGAGAAAAGAAATTGACTCACCAATCAAAGGTATAGAAAGTAGGTATAGAAAGCAAATAAAGCAAAAGAAGTTAGCAGGAAGGTTAGAAGCTTATCTACAACCTTCTCTTTTTTACTGCGCTCTTTTTCTTCGAATTTTCACTCTTTGGTCTCTTTTTCTTTCTTGGGGTGGGCCAAGAATCGGCGAAACGTTCAATCGATGATTGTGACGTAGAAGAATAATTTCCAACATTTAATATATCATTTAGCAAATCATCATCATCTCCTGGTTCAATATTTGCATTCCGGATATTCAGTATACGTAAGTTATCCCTTATAATAAGCTGTGAAATGATTAGGAAAACAGTAAGATGAATGAAACCGTATGTACAGTACAAGTCTTACCTTATGTTGATATACTGCTGCCATAAGTTTTAGAAAAGATTTTATTCCATCTTCAGAGAATTTGCTATCTACATGGTGAGATACAACATCCTTCCTAAAAATACAAATCGATCCTCCGGCACGATATAATCTCGTGAACTGAATCCATAGACCGAGATGCAAAATACCGAAAACCTGAAGATTATTAGCTTTTTGTTCGTCATAATTTGCTGTTCTCACAAGATCAGCATACATATCTCGAAGCGTTTTCGGCATTTTGAACGTTTCAAGAAGATACTTTCGATCCGAAACACCCAAAAATGATCTCGCCGCTTCGATAACACCCACTTCAAGATTTCTGTCAACTATGTATACTATCCCATCGATTTTGCGTCCTGTCAATTTTCTGGTTTTTGTGTTTCCTGACCGACCGCGGTTTTTCCTGTTGGCGCTAGCTAGTGATGGTGCGTCGGTCCTACAAGTAGTGATAAATAAAATTATGTTAAAAGTGAATATATTATATACACCAGTGGAAAAAATGGTTAAACCTCTTAATATCCGTGCATAATTGAATATCCCTCATACAAAGGTCGATGCACGTCCCAAAAAAAGCGACAGTAAACCAATTTTCGTATTGGTTTCTAATTAAGGGGGCATCTATATTTTCATATAGATTTACTAGTGTTCGCACTGCCATTTGTATCCACTCCTGATTGTAGTGCTTGTTGATATCATAGATGGTCCCATCTTGTAAATACGATGTCAACACGGAATTACGAAGCTCACTTAATGTTTTCTTCCCGTATCTCACCAGCTCCTCCCCAATTTCACGCGGAACACCTGGAATCCTAATTCGATCCTCAGTTAATTCGTTCCACTCCGTTTGGGTGAACAATGCCTTGACATTTTCGTCGTCATAATTTATAATGTAGGAATGGGCATGGCTGATAACATATGTCAGGATCACGAATAATAAGATAAAAAAAAGAGTGATCAAATTTTGAGAAAACTGACTGTTCATGCTCCATATCTTTGGCGAAATCGAAAAGAACATCTTCAACTATTTTTCCTGACTTCAAATGCATCTTCGCATTATCTGGAATAGCATGGTGCGATTCGCGAAAAGCCAATTTGTCTATTTTAGGAGGATTTTCATCGTCCTTAATTTCATCTGTTTCATGATCCGACTAAATAACATAATTAAACTGTGAGATATGTGAAATAAAATAATAAGAATTCTGTTATTAACATACTTCAACTGGTTCATCACTGTCACTCTCAAACTCCTCAAACTCAATATCATCGGACGAAGCAACTTTACTTCCGCAATAAGGACAAAATCTCATTGGTCCGGAAATATTAATCTAAAGAATCAAAATAAAAGGTAAATGTTGTTATCCATTGCAATGACAAATTTAATGCATTTACCTCCATGTGACATTTGGAACAATGATCTCGATCAGAAAACAAGGTGGGAAGTTGTTGCTCGGAAGAACTCTGGAAAAAATCATTAATTTCATCATTCGAATCCTACAGAAATGCAAGGTCAATAACATTGGATGTATTATGAACTTGAAGTCTGTTTTACGTTTTTTAAAGAATCACCTTTGTTGTAGCTAAATGTGCTTTCACAGTTTCTTCAGCCATGTTCTCCATCATATCTTGCGTCTTACTACTAATATTTACATGACATCGTTTCTGCACAAGAAAGCTATTTAGTAAAAACTCTAAGAGTTTTTCAGCAAAAAATATGCTTACTGTTCGCAAATTTTTCTCATACTCTAAATACATAAGCTCGATTTCGTTCCAGAAAATGTTGACATCCTCGTTATGCTGTCGATGATTCTAGAAAAAAGAAAAGGGAAACATTAAAAATTTGTAATGACGATGTTGTATGGTGCCGATGAAAGAATATCTAGGTTCGGACCACAGCATTCACGTAGAATATTAGAGGAACGGCGCGTAGAACGTCCTCATAGCTGTGAGAGTCATAAATGACTTCTGAGGTTCCCACACACCACCACATTCACGTAGAATATTAGAGGAACGGCGCGTAGAACGTCCTCATAGTCGTGGAAGTCGCAAGCAACTTTGCAAAAACCTCATACCGCACCGCTTTGCAATACAATAACCTTAAATGCTTCTAACAACTGTTTGGCCTTTGATATTTTTTGACGGGATTCAAGATTTTTCTTGAGTAAAAATGATTCCTTTCTGAAAGAAAAGGTGAAGTTGTTTTCATTACGGCGGTGCTTGTAGTAACTAAGGAAGTTCCATTCTTCGGAAGGCGTATTAAAATAAGTTGTGGTTTCGGTCATTATTTGGCTCGAGTGATTATAGTTAAAAAATACTTCAGGAATTGATTGATCGACTTGATCGTATGTGATCTTGATTTTTGATCGGTTACACTAAAAATTACGACCAATAAATTTTAACTGTAGAATGATCAACTAACCAATCACGTATTTTTTTTGTAAATTATATAAAAAGTAAAAAAAAGTATAAAATCCATCGGTGTATACGTCATACACAATGTGGATAATATAGTTATTGAGTATGATATATACCTCCGATGTTGTATAGTATAATGTAAAAAAACTATACTGTATAGATAAAAGCTATACTGTATACAGTAAATAAAAAATTATACTGTATAGATTTTCGTCAACTATACTATACAACATCGGAGGTATATATCATACTCAATATCGTTTAACCGCACAATGTGTTATTCCGTTATTCCATATCTAATAAATACTCCATATACACCGATACTCCCCTGAGTCCCCTCCTTTTCGGGGCCTAAGGCATCGGTGAATATTTCAGTTATTCATTGATATTTGATACCCATGAAATAAAAAGTATGTAATTTAAAAATATATTTTATAAATAAATTAGACGACTCAGTGTAAACCAAATAACAGTTTGAACTTTGAAACTTGTTATAGTAATTCCATATAATCAGTAATTCTATTAATGCACTGTAACTTAATGCTGTATTATATGTACAAATTGTACATTTACAAATTCATATGAATATACCACATTTATCCCATGAAAAAGGCAACAGAAAATGAAAATAGTAATTCTCAATATCTGATATAATTTATGATTTTTATACTGTATTTACACCCGATGTTTCCACACGGAATAACATGTGTTTACACATTACACAGACTCCCCAACTGAATCACCCAATTTGTCTCTGACGTTAGAAAAACTGGGGGGATCCTGCAAAACTGGGATTAACATTAAAAAGTCATCATCATTTCATTTAATTGATTATTAGTTTGTTGTAACTAAGATCATTAAGTTTATACGGTAGGTTAACCCCTGCAATTGACGAGAATCGATTGTGTATCCGACTTCTTTTCATTAACGATCATGCAAAAAAAATAGGAGAAAAGAAAAAAAAAATGGAAGATTTGTACTATGATCTCATTTTCACGGAACAAATAAACGGTTAATTCCATTGTGATGATAGAAGATAGATAATCTGCAATAAAAAGACAGGTAAGGTAAATTACATAATATTTAAAGTTGTTGTGTAATTTACAAAATGAGAACTGATTTTTTAAAAGCATTGTAATGGGAATATATTTAAAGATCAAAGATGAAAAATGGATTACTTGGGTATTTACTTTATGATATCACTGATATTACCGATATTACCGGAGTATTGATAGTATTTGATTTACCGGAGTAAAAATTCATTAAAATCCATTGAATATTAATTTTGATTGGTTAAAAAAAGAGGGCTAACGTTCTTTATCTCAAATTAAATTGGTCGATCATTTATATTAAAAGGTAGTATTCGAACAGGAATTCTTTATTATGAAAACTTAGTTGATTTGCCATCACCTTTTACGGTAAACATGGTAAAGCTTATCAAATCAACATATTATGTAAATAGAAAGGTTTTGTATGTATCATTTCATTCATTCTTTGATTTCCCAATTTTTTTCATTCATGTGCACTTTTTCTTTTAAAATGATAATGAATAATTGTTTTCACGAGCAAATTTTGACTGTACAATGATTTTTTTCTCTAAAAATAAAATGTTAAAAACGATTTTAACCAAAATGGTCATGCCAAGAAATATATAAATTGTTTATATAAACATGAGATCTTTTTTTGGATTTTTACAATCGTAACGATTTTTTTTTTTTTTTAAAAAAAAAAAAGAAGGGTAATATATTTTATAGGCGCGTAAATTTGGACAGATCATACAAATAAATTTTTAGTTTCACGAACATTAATGGGGGAAAACCTTTATTGGAGAAGGAAAAGGTAATGTCATCAACATCTCTTTCTATTCGAGTGTAAAAAGCGAACGCCCGCTTCAATAATTACCATTTACACGTTTGTTAATCATACTTCCCAAAAAAAGTATTTAGCCCGTTATAAAATTACAACTACCGGGGAGGAACACCCTTGTTTATTTATATTATTTCCATTTTTGGTTTTGTCATTGAAAAAGTCATTTCTAGTTAAGATCCTGATATAGTGTTTATTATCATGGATGTTGAATTAATATTTTTTTTTTTATTGTTTAACCTCAAGGTTATTCTTAAAAACTGAAAAATAATATAAAAAAAANAAAAAAAAAAAAAAAAAAAAAAAAAAAAAATTTTTTTTTTATGAAAGAATATAAAAAAAGAAAAAAAATCTGATAAAAATGTCTAAAAAAAGAATAATATAATTAAAAATGTCTACATTTTTTTTCTTTAATGATTAACCCGCACAGGAAGAAATATAAAAAAAAAATTATCAAAAAGTAATAATTAATTAATTAAAAAAAAAAATGGATAATTTTTTCTAAGAAAAAAAGGTTATGTTTTGTAAAAAAAATGTGAATAAAAAAGAGAAAAAAAAAAGTTCAAACGCTTTATATAAAAACCCAAAAATAAAAAAATGAACTACCATTTAAAACACGTTAAAAAAAACAAAAAGAAATTTAAATTTTGAAATATTATGATACATTTTTTTAAAAAAAAAGAAGAAAAATGAAATAAATTGAAAATAAACGAAAAAGTTTTGTAAAAGTTTTTTTTTTTTTCAACACCACCGCAGCATTGAAAGAATTATTATTAGAGTTTTAATTATACTAATTGTTCTTTATAATAATCTAAAGACATTAATAAAATCATAAATATAACGACGAGTGAAAATCTGTATCGAAGTTTGTTAAAAACATATTATTTGATTGTGCGAATGTTGTATAGGCGAGAAGCGTTATTCCAACGATAATACATGAATCTATTATTGAGAGAAAAAAAAAGAAAGAAGAAGGTTTTAAAATTAATTTCTCATAAAATAAAATATAACAAAATTTACAAAAAATTTACGCAATTTACGCAATTTACGCGCAATTAATACTTACTGAATAAAGCTTTTTCCCAAGGTTCAAGTGATTTAGAAGTAGATATATCACTTTGATATTTCATTAATGAAAAATAATTGTTGATTGTTGTCAACATTCTTAATAATATAACGTTTTTTTTTTCGTAAAAAAAATCGAATTGTTCGTATAAAATTAAAAAAAAGTCTTTTATGTTCGATAAAATTGATAAAATTCAAGATTTTGCTTTTTTCAAAAAATAATATATAAATTTTTTTCGTTAAAAGAAATAAGACCTTTTTCTTAAAATTTAAATTAATAAAAAAAAAAATTCCAAAAAAAAAAGGTAAAGAAAAAAAATTTAAGAAAGATTTTTTGGGGTTTATATATAAGTTATTCAAGTGCTGTTGTAAAACTATGATGCTAAAAAAAAATCTTTATTCGGAATATCCTTTTATTGAGAGATGTCGGAAAAAACAACGAAACAAAGAGATTTACGACTTAAAAATTCATAGTCATGCGTATTGCTGGTCTTTATTATATTAACAGGAAAAAATATAAAAATATAAATATGATTTTTGAAAGTTCGTTTTGTTATAATTTTTTAATATAAATTATGTGAAAATCAATTTTTTTTTAAAAAAAAAAAAAAAATCTGTGGTGGTTGAACACAATTTATATTTTTGTTTGTTATATATGATAAAATCGGATTTACCCTACTCGTATGCTTTTATATTAATTGCATAAAAAAATTATGAAATAATTAAGAATGACCACTTTATTTGGTAATATTTCAATACACGCGTCTGAGTTTTATTTTTATGTGATACTTTTTTTTTTTAGTAACAATTCTATAACAAAAATAGATTTTTTTACAATAATAGTAAATAATAAAGGGATTAAAAGGGATTTCGCAAATTACCGTATACAATTATACAATTATTAAAATATATTATGTTGAAACTCCTTAAAATGGTTATTTTCCAGAAAATCCTTTCTTATCCTCCCTTGGCGATGTGGCAAATTATTTTGCCAAGCCATCCTCATCTTATGTTCATATGTTGATCGACATCATAGTCAAAGCTTTTGGTTCCAAAAAAAAATTAATTTTTTCGGTTAAAGAATATTCGATTTCTTTTCTCCATATTCTCTGAATTTGGTATCACTATGATATCATGATACTATGAAGTAAAATTTTTTATCAAAGATCTGCTGAGCTTTAATTTTATCTAGAACTTTTTGATTTTAGTTAATTTTGTTATACACGTGATTTATGATGTGATTGATTGTTTATTTCAGGTTTGGTGAGTAAAAAAATTTTGTCATGATTTTCATTTCTAAAAATAATAAAAAAAATTTTTAGTACCTTTTTTAAATATAATGTCAGGAGATTTCATGCGATGACATAAAATAATTTGTCAAAAGGAAAAAAAAGGAAAAATTTTTTTAAAATAAAAACAACAAATTGATTTGCCACTATTCCCAACAACTTATTATCCAGTAATTTATTATATGATTTGAGTAACCAATAATATTATTAACATGCAATTATAATATGCAGAAAATAGATGTGGCAAATTAATGATATTTTTATTTATATTTTTATTTATTCTAAAAATAATTAGTTATTTTACAAATTCGTACATTTCTTACAGGAAGTGCTTTGTTACTCCTGTCCTGCTGCAACTTCTTTTATAACAAGATAAATAATATCATAATTGTTTTATGTCATGTATTTTCATCCTAATTTAGAAAAAAATAAATTAAATTTTTACTTTTTTGGTTTAAACTATCATATGGGATGACCCCATTTTTTTTTTATATATATTTAAAAAAATATTGATAACCGAGATAATGCAATAGAGATATTGTATTTTATTACTACCGTTTAATATGTGTAAATCATATTATAATCAAAAAAAAAAAGATCTGTTAACAAACAATCACTAATTTATATATAGTATACCAATTAGGAATGAGAATTGATTTTTTTTTGCCGACCTGTTAACTAAAATATAGTCAATGTCGAATGTTAACGCCTCCAAAAAAAAAAATTACGTTTCAAATAATAATAATAATTGAAAAAATTTTTTTGGTTATAAAAAGAAATAATTATTATTTTTTTTTTTTTAAATAGAATTT